AATATATAATATATAATAATTAAATAATTTAATATATATTACATTGCCAAAAATGGATAAAAATCAAGTTTGCAACGTTTCATAACTGTTTTAAAGAAATACTTATTAAGCCTCACTGTAATCAGGAAGTGGAATGACTCAGATGAGGAAGGGGGTGGAAGCTGACTCTTATTCACAGTTTTAATGATAGGCACGATGCAGCCATACTTGACATAGTTTTCTAGTGTTCTACCCTCGCAGCCCGGCCTAGGGCCAGACTCTTCGGGTGCTTGCCTGTTCAAGTAGACTTTTTACTGACTCGCTGTCCTACATATTCATCATAGTCTTGTTGATCTTGCATTTGGGGGAGATAGTGATCCAGCTTCATCTTGAAAACCTCTACACTTGCTGGCAGCATGCTGAATAGTTTAGGCCCATATCGTCACTCCGGTACATTGTTATAGTTTTGTGTAGGTTTGGGACTAGGTCCTCCAACATCTTTCACGTGTATATCATTGTTTCGAGACAGAAGATTAGGAAAATCAGCCGTATCTAGTTAAAAGGCAGGGCCAGGATCTTGGATTCGACTCAAGACTCATGTTAGGCTAGTAGGATCATCATGGAGTATCTCCTGCTTCATGTACAAGGGTCATTACCCCCTTTCCTAACATCTTCCGTTGTGGGCTTCTTGCTCCAGTCACCACCTTATTTTTATGTTACTCATACCTTATGTCTGTATGTTATTTAAATGGTAAGGAAGGGCAGGTACATTTCTGGTCTTTCTAAGGCGTTCAGTTATATTTACAGCATTTCAACCACTGCAGTATAAAGTTTTAAGTGTCAATGCAGTGAATTAATATTCTAAAATTAGTACTGACATTTATTGCACTTAACCTACTGATATAGATGAACGTATTATGTTAGATCTCCAGATTTCCTTCTATACTGTTAGTTATTTTTTGTATTTTATTTGAAAAATACAATACATTTAATAAATAAAAGTATAGTGTCCGGTATTTCACAGTCAAAAACAGTTATTTCTTCATAATCAAAATACACTGCACGTGTTACATTGCCTTTAGAAAAATTGCTCTTCACATGACTCGGTGCAACCCCCAACATGTGTGCGAAAAACAAGATTATACAATATTATATATACTCGACATCAAGCAAATCATTTCAATTTACAGTAATAGTTCACTTATTACACTGCACACACCTGATAGATACAAAAAACACAAGAAAACTGTGCAAGTAATACTAATTAAAAACAGTCCACATTCCCCTTTCATTGGCAATATACAATATACACATTAATGAAGTACTTAAAATAAAAGATATTTTTGGGCAGTACAACCACACCTTCCCCCCTTTTACCCCAGATCACCATATTGCACATCGAACTGTTAGTTATTGAGGGAGCCCTGACAAGGACTATTGACTTAATAAATCTTAGGTGAACCTGAAGTGCCCCCGAAAGGATTATTATTATTATTATAATCAAGGGGGAAGCGCTAAACCCGGAGGATTATACAGCGCCTGGGGGGATGTGGAAGGCATTCAGGCTTAATTCGGGGAACTGGAGCACAGATCCAATTCCCTAAATCAAGAGCCCCTCACCAACATCAAGGAACCTTCCTTGAGGGGCCCCCGAAAGGAGGGGAGGTACTTCGATGACGGGGAAGATTAAAGGAATTGGAGATGATCTCTCTTTCCTTAGATCAAACCTGATTACCTCCCATTCCCCAGGTGTTTTTAACCCTTACGAGTTAAGCGCTTTCCCATGCATACATTACTGTGTCTTAACTATCCGGTATGACCCAGGCTTGAGTCATACCGAATAACTTGTAGCTTGTACTGCTAGTATGTTTGTGTATTTGTTTGTTATGGTGAATGAATATTATAGTTTATGATACAGAAAGCTGAAAAAACACTCGATTCCAGTTTTTTAGTGTCAACTCCTCACTTTTGCTCACTCTCCATAAGCCTTCATCACACTATCTTTCATACCCTCCCCTCAGGGAAGGTTCCTTGATGTTGGTGAGGGGCTCTTGATTTAGGGAATTGGATCTGTGCTCCAGTTCCCCGAATTAAGCCTGAATGCCTTCCACATCCCTCCCAGGCGCTGTATAATCCTACGGGTTTAGCGCTTCCCCTTTATAATAATAATAATAATATCTTTCATACACACCGGAATATTTTATGGGCTGGGCTTAACATGTTTACAAAATATAGCTGTATAGCCCTTGTGGCTTAGCGCTTCTTTTTGATTATAATAATAATAATAATTACAAAATATAACCTAGTTCTTTCTTCTCATCCGTGTACGGCTTTTCATAAAAGTTTCTGGAAAGCAATTCTTTGTTAAACGTATCGCCGTCGCTTGGTTAAATATATACTATTTTTATAAGTATGTAAACAAACTTAACCCAGCCTAGCCTAACTTAAAAAAAAAAAAAACGCTATATTCGCGTTTGTCATACCGTACCATTTAACGTGATGGAGAGCGTGTTTCCTAGTTCACCTGTTACTACTTTTAGGAATCATCATCCCTGTGGTCCGGTCTCAGACCACAATTCGGCTGATTAGGAATGACCGTGGAGAACTAATTACAGGGCTGTTGCCTAGTCTTATATTTGAAGGAAAAGTTTTAAATTAAGTGGTTTTGTAGTATATCTCAGATGGTTGGGGGGGGGGGGGAATCATCGTCGTTGCCACCTACACCAGGGCTTAGGGCTCTTCCGCCCTCATTAAACTACTAGAGGAAACTGTTCTGTAGGATCACTGAATCTGAACTTACCGTTGGCATGCATCCGACATCTGTCACAGTATCTTTGATCATCCATCCAACATCTGCCACAGTCTATGGTTATAGATCCGTCATTAACTGCAACGCACTGGCAGTTTATGTTACCAAGCTCAGTGTTTACCTAATTGCTGTCACGGTTTATGAGACTAATGTGATGAATGTTCTTGGCTTTTCCCTCAACATTTTCATTCTCAGAACAGAAGCCCTCTTGTTGGACCAGGCTGTTTGGCTTCAGCCCTGAAACTGGGAATAAGGCTTTGCACTTAGCTAAGCGCTGCTGAATTTGTGTTACATTTCACACAATAATAATACACTTGCCCATAGTCCGGGGGCGTGAAGATATATAACATGTGGAACAAGTTCAGGGTAGAACTGTATCAAGTCCAACACCTCATTTTATGCATTGGGTAATGGGATGCATACTATTCACGTGCTTCCCAGGCTGACAGTCACTAGTCACACGGTTGTGAGAGTGATAGCTTCAGTTTTGTAATGTGAGAGGGAGCCCAGTTGTCTAGCAGAGCAGAGAAGTCTTCAGGCCTCACGTTTCTAAGGGTTATGTTGAGGTAACAGCTGCAGCTGATTTACATGTTAGACGGTTCATGTCCTATTGTGTAGGTAGCCAGTGTGATGATGGGCTTAATGTCTGGTTGATAATATCCTTTTATCACCACTAATGCCATTACATTTAAACTGTACTGAAAACACCTCAAATTATTTGGATTGCTTTCTCAGGAACGAAGTAGGGAGATAGATATCTGAAAATATATACACGGATGGTTCTTGAACTTATCCGTAAAGTGCACAATGGAAAATAGTGTTTAATAAACCCAGTGAAGACCACGGGGAGAGGAAGGATGGGAGTACAAAGAACACTTTGTCAGTATCCTTGGCACAATGCTCTTCAGCATATTAACCGGCAAATATCTGAAATATTTCTAGAACGATATCAGTTTTCATGAAGCTGGACGACTTCTTACACACCAGGATAGATACGTATGATAATAAGAGTCTTGACAGACAGTGTAATGGTACGACGGGTACACTAGGAGAAAACTCGGTAAGCGTCAGAGGTCCCTTCGTGCGTAAAGATTGGAATTGCCAGTATACCTCTGGGTGTCTTCAAAAGGGAATTTGAAAAGTTACTCAAATCAGTTCCTGACCAAACAGCTAGGGTTCGTACGTTGGACTGCGTGCGACCAATAGTAACAGAATGGTTGATGAGGCCTTGATTCACCAGGAGGCCTGGTCTGTGACCGGGCCGCGGGGGCGTTGACTCCCGGAAACATCGTTCGGATGTCCTTCAGAAGTGCCGTATTAGCCAGATTGTGATAACGTAGCGGGCCGACAACACAAGTAGCCTGACTGACCAAGCCGTCTGTAGGGAAGCCTAGCCTCAGGCTGTGAGGGGTAGAAGAGCACTGTAAACCTGTCACAGGTAAAGCACAGGTAAGTAACAAACTGTCACAGGCATAAACACTCAGAGATGTGAATCTCTTAATGTACTGTATATACATTGAGTTTGTTTTTATCCCTATTTTAGCAAGTAAGGGATACTTATTGTTAGTATGTAGGTGAAGTCATCACTCTTCAACACTGTGTGCTTGATTGTTCACTTATCGAAGAATATAGTGTAATAACCTATGTGATATATCAAGGTATTTTATTAATGAAAATAAGATACCTGACAAATTAAGCAAATATCCTAAATATGCTTGCAAAAGATTAAACGTAAACTGTACATTCATATCCAGATGTATACTCCTGTTAACCCTTTGGGGGGCTTGTTCCTAGGTCCTTTCTGCATCCATATGCTCTTTCGCTACCCTCCGCAGGATAGATATGGAGTACACAATAAACTAGCTGCTTCGGCGGTAAAATCTAATCTTATTCTTCAAACGCATTGTTTTCTTTGAATTAAACAACGGTGGTGTATCTACCACTGCCAGACGTTATCCCCCAGACACGAGTGGTGTTATGATCCCCTCGTGTTGTTAATGATGCTCACGTTAACCCTTGTATTGTGTTGTTAATGATGAACACGTTAACCCTTGTGTTGTTAGTCATGAAAAACGTTAGTAGAATCAGAACAAACCAGCAAAGAAAGGTCGCAGATTATTTTGATCATATTACTTACGGTTGCAACATGGAATTAGACTATAAAGTTAGCTATGGGATATGAATTATCAAGTTATCTCTGTTTCTGTTACAGAAGTCAAAGGTCGCGAGGAGAGGTGGTTGGCGCCACCGCAAGCAGCAGCAGCCACAGGAAATCACTGCCGCAGCAGCAGCAAACACAGCACCACCGGTAGCAGGAGCGACAGCAGGCGTGGGGGGGGGTCACGAGTAGCAGTGGCAAGGACATTAGCCAAGGGATCACCAGCAGCACCAGTGAGCAAGAACAGCCGATTGGTCACCAGTCAGTGATTCATCAACACTTGTTGCAGCACAGTCCATGTGTGTGCAGATCACTGTCTAGTTTACACCAGTCATCATGCAGTTCACACACATATGTGGACTGTGTTTACTAATACTTTTGGCAGTAGTTTGTTCAGGTGAGTGTGCCTGGAGTGTTCCAACGAAGTCCCCCTCTTATTTACATACCTTGAACAGTGTACAGAACTAATTCGCTTCATTCTGGGTTTCTTGTTGGCTGTTTAGTTTTTATAGTGTGTTTTAGATATTAAATTAGCAGTTCTTTGTAGAATAATATGTTTTAGTGTGTAAACTAACATTATTTGCCACCACTTGTTTCGTGCGGCTCCGTCAACTGAGTTTTGTTCTTTTATTTAGAAGATTGAGCACAAGCAGCGTGATGCGTTCTGGTATGAACCTTGGTAATTGATACCCACAAGCGGTTTACAAAGACATGTATAAGCAAACACTAGGAGAAACGTTTCGGTCCTGGGACTCTGATCACTTCTAACAGACAGGCCAGGAATGACCGTGTATGTGTGTGGGTGTGAGAGACAGGTAGTGACCTAACGAAAGAACGTATGAGGTGAGATCATGGGCTGCTTGACGCAAATCTTTAGAAAAAAGTGCTCACTCGTTTTTCCGTCAGTTCAGTACTTGCGCCTCACTCCTCATGCTTATGCATGTCATATTTGATCACTGTATGTTGGAAGTAATCAAGGTCCCAGTGTTTGCTCACTTGTCTTTTTAAACCTGAGTCGTTCTTGTTGTTATTCCATAAGATCAAGTAGATACTTGAGGAAGATTGTTGAGGTGTGGACACTATCCTGGCCAGCTCTGCCGCTAGTATGATTTGTAATTTCCTCAAGCACATGGGCGTGTAGCTTCTGAGATTTATAGATTATTGGCTGCATAGGGGTCATCAAGACATTTAACCTATTCTTAATTATCAACATTAATATTAAAAAAGGGTTAAAATAACAGCGTATATACACAGATATACACAGAGAGATATACACCTCTGCTTTTATTCCTTAGGTTAACAATGTCTGTGGTGTAAAAAATATCAAATTTTCGAGGAAAGAGTGTGGGAAGGTTTAAGATTGTAGGAAATACTGTGACTTCTTTGTTAAAGAGATGTGGGAAGAAGCATCATACTGTAATGACGATAATTTGAAGTTCATTTGTTAAAACCACATCAAATACCTGGAGGGGTATACCTGGAGGGTGTTTTGGGGGTCGACGCCCCCGCAACCCGGTCAGTGACCAGGCCGGTCGTGAACTGGCCATCCATGATTATGCTTTCTCGTGAGGCTGTGCTATCAGTACCGCTGGCTGTATTATTTTTATTTTCTTAGGAAAGCGCTGCATGCGTAGGGCTCTTATTGCGTCTGGGGAATGGGAGGTAATCCGGTTTGAGCCGAGGAAGGGGAAGGTGGCACCAGTTCCTTGGATTAAGAGCCCATCATAAAGAGAGCTGCATTGTAGATGCAGGACAACAAGGAGCCACAACTGGACTCCTCAGAACACTTCTTGTGTACGTCTTGTGTGTAAACACTATTACACACGTACATACACATACATACATACATATACACGTACATACATATACACGTACATACATATACACGTACATACATATACACGTACATACATATACACGTACATATACACGTACATACATACGTATATACATACATACTTGCATACATACACGCATCCACACATTTACACACACACACACACACACACGAGCTATAAATCGACCCCTGCAACCACAAATAGGTGAGTACATATACATGCATGCACACGCGCGCGCGCACACACATACACAGTTGATGGACATAGCTAATTACTAAAATAACAGTACTCCCTGATTACGCTATTAACAGGGTGTTCATCAGTGCTGTTTGTTAGTGTAATGTGCTGGGTAGTCTTACACAAAGGTGTCTTAGTCTTGAACACTGCTTGAGGTACACTAGTGATGGTGCGTGTGCGTGCGCGTGCGTGAGATCGTGCGTGAGGTAGTGCGAGGGTGTGCGGGGCTGGGGGGAGTGGTGGTGGTAGTGCCCCTGGTGGCAGGAAGTGGGGGGCGTAGTCGGTATCAAAGAGTGTCAGGGGCGGAGTATGATAGCGCCAATCCTCCCTCCTTCTCTCCCTCCTTTCATCCTTCCTTCTTTCCCTTCCTCCCTCCTTCCTTTCCTCCCTCCTTTCCTCCACCCTCCCTCTCCAAGCTTTCCCATTTTCACTAATCTTCATCCTCCCTCTTTGTTCCTTCTCACTTCTAACAGTTTTGTCACTGGTCATTCACTGGTGTTGTCACTGGTCATACACTGGTGTCACTGGTCATTCACTGGTGGTGTCACTGGTCATTCACTGGTGGTGTCACTGGTCATTCACTGGTGGTGTCACTGGTCATTCACTGGTGGTGTCACTGGTCATTCACTGGTGGTGTCACTGGTCATTCACTGATGGTGTCACTGGTCATTCATTGGTGTTGTCACTGGTCATACACTGGTGTCACTGGTCATTCACTGGTGGTGTCACTGGTCATTCACTGGTGTCACTGGTCATTCACTGGTGGTGTCACTGGTCATTCACTGGTGGTGTCACTGGTCATTCACTGGTGGTGTCACTGGTCATACTCTGGTGTTGTCACTGGTGATTCACTGGTGTTGTCACTGGTCATTCACTGGTGGTGTCACTGGTCATTCATTGGTGGTATCACTGGTCATTCACTGGTGGTGTCACTGGTCATTCACTGGTGGTGTCACTGGTCATTCACTGGTGGTGTCACTGGTCATTCACTAGTGGTGTCACTGGTCATTCACTAGTGGTGTCACTGGTCATACACTGGTGTTGTTACTGGTCATACACTGGTGTCACTGGTCATTCACTGGTGTTGTTACTGGTCATGCTGTATAGCCCTTGTGGCTTAGCGCTTCTTTTTGATTATAATAATAATGTTACTGGTCATACACTGGTGTTGTTACTAGTCATACACTGGTGTCACTGGTCATTCACTGGTGTCACTGGTCATACACTGGTGTCACTGGTCATTCACTGGTCATACACTGGTCATTCACTGGTATTGTCACTGGTCATTCACTGGTATTGTCACTGGTCATTCACTGGTGTTTTCACTGGTCATACACTGGTCATTCACTGGTGTTATCACTGACTATTCACTGTTATACTCGTTCTTTCACCATACACTTATCGTTGCACTCCTGCTTGTCACTTCATTGATCGTATTCCAGCAGAGTTTCTTTTCAAACTGAGGAGTCCTGATCTGAGCCCGAGCATCGGGGTGATCTTCCCCGTTTACACAATCACAAGTCACTGACGGGAATTATCAGTAAAGAAATTGCATTATTATTATTATTATTATTATTATATTATTATTATTATTATTATTATTATTTTTATTATTTTGTCAGTAAATTATTTTCCTGATGTTGACTTGTGAAGACAAGACAAAAGCCGTAGAATCAGTTTTTATTGTCTTGTTTTGCTCTGTGTAAAGCTTTTATCAAGTTTTGTTTCGCTATGTTGAGCCTTATCATGATTTTTCTCACTCTATAGAACTTTATTATTTTTCACTATGTAGAGCTTTATTATGTTTTGATCTGTGTAGAATTTTATCATGTTTTCCCCTTTGTAGTGACAACTAGGTAATTTTTATTTCATGTAGAACTTAATCGAACCATGTTTCGCTGTGGAGAGCTTTATCAAGTGATGTTTCGAACTGCATGTTGCTTTATGAAGGCATGTTTCCATCTGTGTAGTCTGTAGAGCTCTTATCAAATCAGACGACTTGATGAAGCTCTATTCATCGAAACGTTGTCCCAATAGTAGCTTGTTCAACAATCTGTCTTGTCGTTATTTGTCGCGGCGTTTTGGAACTAGTTGAGATCTGTTGATCTTTCAATGGATGTCAGGGATGTGTCTGACGTCAATGTCACATAAGATCACAAGAATGAAGGAACACTTCAGCAGGCCTACTGACCCATACTTGGCACGTCTTTCTGAATTTTGCATCCCTTAACACTCGTATATTTATCCAAACTATTTTCAAAGCTACATATTGAATTAGCGTCAGAAACCCTTAATTAGCATGTTAGGTAAAAAAGGACACAGGTACAGCTGTGGAGAAAATTTTTCCTCCAAAGAGGGCTAAGGCTCATTCTGGCCATGGGCAAGACGAGTCTGGCCCATGGTCGGGCTCCGGGAGTAGGAAAGACTCTCGAAAATCATCAAAGGTAAAGGCATATCCTACACTGGCAGTGCAGGTGCAGACCAAGGGGGTCACGACTCCTCCCTATTTCCATTAACAGAGATGAAAGGAGATCTTATGTCTTGCAACGAAGCTTCATTAAGCCATACCAGAACATCCATATATCTTATCATGTGTTCATTTTTCTATGGCCAATAGGTCCCACAGAATCTTAAAGAGCAACTAATGTGACATTTTATTGCGGTAACACTTCGCTCTCCAGGAGCTTAAAATGTCACATTATTTGCATGTGTGTCCTGTTACGGACCATATTGTCGGTAATTCTATCATTATCATGAGCGATGTTAGACTAGTTCCACTCGAATCCCACGCTTCTCATTCTGTACTAATAAGTAAGTAAGTAAGTAAGTTTATTCAGGTATACACAAATACAGTTACATAGAATTATCATACATAGCAGCATATGTGTAGAGAACCTAGGATAACCCAAAAAAGTCAGACAGTGATTTATTTCCATTGGGGTCCTTTTACCTTATTATTATAATATAAAGGTTATAATATTTTCTTATTATTCTATAATGAAGATAACATCTTATTATCATACTAAAAAGACTATCTACTACACGAGGGTCATTACTAGGAATAAAGTAAAATTTACACGTATGTTAGATAAAAAATAGAAAATCATTCCCCTCCCTTTCTGTAGCTACATTCATCAGACACCTTTTGGCACTCTTCTTGAACTGGTTCATGCTATGACTGGCTTTGACATGTGCGGGTAGTCTGTTCCATTCCTTTATTGCTGTACAATAAAAGGTGTTTGAAGCCTGTCCAATGACTGTGGGTACTACAAAGTTGTGCTCTCTCCCCCTAGTACTATGATTGCTTTGGTTCCCAACCTTG